ACTTGGCCTCTCACATTAGTGCAGGGTCACATGGCCAGGGTCTCTCCTCTGCAGCTGGGTGGTGTCAGCTCTCCATCTCTACTGGGTGACTTGGTTAATGTCTGTGCCAGAGTAGTTGTGCACTCTGTTGTGTAGTTGTCTCTCAAGTGCAAAGGTACAAACCTGCTGTTTGGATACAGGTGTGTTAACTCCAGTGATGTTTCCTAAGTGCCCTAGTGACACTTGGAGAATTTTAAAGGTTATGCTATGAAGATGTGACATGCCTGTTCCTACAGTTCTGACAGAGAAGGTTATGTTCTTCATCTCCTCTGATGGCCTTTCCAGTGCGTCTTGCATATCCTGTTTTCCACTCCTGCCTGCAGGTTCAGAGGATGGGAAGATCCATGTTTGGAATGGGGAAAGTGGGATGAAGGTGGCTGTGCTGGATGGGAAACACACGGGTCCTATAACCTGCCTGCAGTTCAATCCAAAATTCATGACTTTCGCTAGCGCATGTTCCAATATGGTAAGGAAATGGTTAGCTCAGTGAGGTGCTAACCCCTCCAGAGATGAACTTGAGAAGGCTCAGTGCCTCTGAGTATTGCCTGGGCTTTGGTTGAGAGCCAGGCTCGTTTGTTCCTCTCTGACTGTGCTGTACCTGGCAGGTACATATGTGGGACAGCACACATGAAAGCAGAGCAGGGAGTGAGAGTGCACGCAGAAGTACAGGTTCTTTAGGTCCCTGCACATGGCTGATATTTTCAGTTTGTGTAAGCCTGGCTTGCTCTGGAGAACATGCAGTGCAAACCAAAGCTATGTAAGCAAGGATTAAGCTTAAACTGCTGGGAGGGCATTGCTGCCTCTCTGGTAGTCTCTGCCTGTGTGCATACAGAAGGTAGCAGTGATCAGATCTCCTGTGGGAGATATTTGTGTTCTGCTCTGAAAAGATGCTTTCTTTCCTTTATTTTAGGCCTTCTGGTTGCCAACGATCGATGACTAATTCCTACTCTGCAGCCGCTGTTGGATGACTCCCATACTGCTAACAGCAGCACATCATGCAAGCATAGTATTGGAATTGCCTACATCTCCTAGACTGTATTCCTGTTCCTGTGTGTTTTCCATGTCTTACCTTTATTTGCTGCATTCCCTTCTGAGGACCGCTCTGCTCAGCCTCCTGGCACATTCAGAAGCAGCATGTTACACATTCTTACCTTCCAGTCTGTGCCCAGCAGGCTTCAGCCCAAGTTGGAACTGACATAGTATTATTCTAAGAGCAGTGAAGCCTGTTTAATTTACAAAATGCTTGTGGCATTTTTTTTTAAGCTGTAATTGTGTTTTTTCCTGCTGTAAGTGCACAAGGCTATTGATGTTCCAAGGTGGAACGTGCAGTTCCTTCCCATAAGTGCATGTTTTAACATCTGGGATCTTTCTGGTTTCACTGCAGTCCGCAGATGCAAACACTTCTGTGCCAAATGTGAACATTGACAGTTTTCGACTTCACCCAGCAGATGCTGATTCTCTTGCAGTGGAACACGCACCAGAAGAGTGGGTGACTGTGAATATACGTGATACATTTTGTCATCCTTTTTGTGATGATTTAATGTGCAACTGTACAGGTTTAGTCCACTGCCAGAGGTTGGCAAAGCCTCCTTGCTGTTTGCTGTGCCAGCATCCTGGTGGCACAGACAGCACTGATGAGGTCCCGCC